AAAAAAAAAAAAATTCTGGGGGAGAAATATTCCTCAAATTCTATACATAGCTCTCAAGATATTCTTGGACACGTAAGGCCTTATGCAATTTACCTCCCATGGACCCCTTTTCTCAGGAATCTACCAAATGATGAGAGAAAACAAGAAAGAAGACAATATGGAAGTCAGGAAGCAGCAGCAAGGGGAATTCCCAGAATGATAGAGAAGGGAAATCCCAGGCTGATATATCCGTATAGTAGCCTTAAAGATCAACAAGCCTAGACTGGAATAAGATAATGGAGGGCTCAGGAGGAATTTTTTGAGGTAAAAAAGAAATAGATTATCGAATAATCTCACTTTGTAGAAAGCTGTATTGAGAGGCTCTGGAAAGTGTGGTAAGAGTGGACTAGCAGCAACTTTTTTGAGACATGGTCTTTCTTTGTCACTCAGGCTGGAGTGCAGTGGTATGAACACAGTTCACTGCAACCTCGACCTCCTGGGCTTAAGCAATCCTCCCACCTCAGCCTCCTGAGTAGCTGGGACAACAGGCACATGCACCCATGCCCAGCTAACTTTTATAGTTTTTGTAGAGATGTGGTTTCACCATGTTCCCCAGGCTGGTCTCAAACTCTTGAGCTCAAGTGATCTGTCTACCTTGGCCTCCCAAAGTGCTGAGATTACAGGTGTGAGCCACTGTGCCTGGCCTGACGAAATAGAAAACTAAATAAACAAAAAATAAGGCAATTATTAAATCTAGAAAAAAAATTGTAAAAGAAGGAAAAACAATCCATTTACACTTATAGCTCAGCAATGAATATTTCATAATTACAATAATACACAACATCAAATACTGATTTAATAAAAAAAATTGTAACTGTTACAGGAGGACTGGTAAAATGGTCGTGATGAGTGGGATGTGGGGTTTAAGACTATGAAATTCCAATGTGCCATAATGGTTTCTTGTGCTTTATTCATCTTGAATAAATGCCACTAGAGAAATGTAGTGTCAGTCTTCTATGACATGAAATGTGTTAAATGTACAATAACTAGATTCTTAGCTGTGGAATAATCTGGGCCTAAGTCAGTTTGTGGAAAACTAAGTTCCCTACAAGCAGAGTGGAACGACAGCAAAAGTGAGAAATAGGCCTAACTTATCAGCCTTGAGATCTAAGGCAAATCATTTAACCTCTAAATACAGTCTGAAATTAAGTATCTGTTAAAAGGAGATGTTTATCCATGGTCATGTTACAGAAGTATTAAATGAAAGACAGTACAGAATAGAACATGGACTGTCCCAGTCAGGCCTGTGTTACATACGGTCTCCACCTTTTCCATTCCCTCAGTCAGTGTGTACAAGTTATTCTGCCTTTCTCCCTAAGCAATGGCCACAATCCAACATTTTATGTTGTTACTAAAATTTCAAAAAATTGTATATGTAACCTTAAAAGAGCCAAAATGGAACTAGATCATCCATTAAAACAAACAACTAGTGGTGGCCCACTAAAGTGATTTCATAAATTGTGTCATGACCTATATTTTGAAAAACATTCCATAAATTGCAGTTTCATCATTGTAAAATACTTTCACCTATAAAACATAAAATAGCCAGGTGCAGTGGTTCACGCCTGTAATCCCAGCACTTTGGGAGGCTGAGGTGGGCAGATCACTGGAGGTCAGGAGTTCGAGACCAGCCTGATCAACATGGTGAAATCCCGTCTCTACTAAAAATACAAAAAATTAGCCAGGCGTGGTGGTGCACACTTGTAATCCCAGCTACTCAGGAGGCTGAGGCAGAAGAATTACTTGAACCAGGGAGGCAGAGGTTTCAGTGAGCTGAGATCACGCCATTGCACTCCAGCCTGGGCGACAGAGCAAGATTCTGCCTCAAAACGAACAGACAACAACAACAAAAAAACATAAAATAGAACTTATCTCATAGGATTATTCTAGAAAACTCTTAGTACAATGCCTAGCACATAGTAATAACTATGATAAAAAAAAAAAACAACCTATATTAACTTTAAAGCACAGAGCAAATATCAGATGTTATTTGTCTGCAGTCCCCTATTTCATTAAGAATAGTGGGATGCCAACCACATTAAAGATATCTTCATATATTTTACTGGCAAACTATCAGAGCAATAATCACAACAATAACAACAGCTAACACTTAAAAATAGTGCTTACTATGTACAGGCATCTTTATAAGTGCTTTACCCATATTAACTCATTTAATCCTTCTATCTCCTCTGTGAGGTAACAACTATTACTATTACTCATTCTTGTTTCACAGACAAACAAACTGAGGTAGAGAGATTAAATAAGCTTGTTTTGCCATAAACATAGCTGGCTTATGGCAGATCTGGGATTCAAACTCAGTAGTGTGGCAATGCAGACTGTGCTCTTAACTGAAAATG